CATGCCGACTTGTTGAGGAAAGTGTAAAAGATCATGCCGACTTGTTGAAGAAAGTGTAAAAGATCATGCCGACTTGTTGAAGAAAGTGTAAAAGATCATGCCGACTTGTTGAGGAAAGTGTAAAAGATCATACCGACTTATTGAGGAAAGTGTAAAAGATTATTTAAATTTTTAAAGTATCAAATTGGATTTTTGTTCAATAAAAATCTTTCAAATGCGACTGTAGCTTTTTTTTCCCCAAAACTTTGTCTTCAAAATAAGGGTGCGTCTTATACACCGGTGCGTCTTATATTCCAAAAAATACGGTATTTAGTTTTTATGAAGGGATCACTGATGTTTAACTGTATTTACTGTAAAAACTTTAACCCCTGTATAGGAACCTACTTAAAGCTTTTATGGTGCCTATATAGATAATATAATGTTTTGGGACAACATGGGACCTATTGGTCCATCTCAGCTGTTCCATCCTCTAAACTAAATTAAAATAATTTTTAAAGAAATCTTAAAGCCAACCCTTACCATTCATAAACTTATCAAGCTTTTTCTTAAACTCGCTTAAATTTACTGCCTCTACAACATCCGAAGGCAACCCATTCCAAAGGCCAACCATGCTGTAAGAAAAATAAAACTGTCTTAACTGAAGATGACTCCTGTCCTGCCAAAATTTATATTTGTGTCCCCTAGTCATATTATTCTCGCTGTTTAAGTATGAAAAAAGATGATGCATCAAAACTATCAATTCCCTTTTCGATCTTAAACACATCAATCAGATCCCCCCCCCCCTAACTCTTCATTTTTCAAGAAAAAAAAAATTTGAGAGATTTCAACATCTCCTCGTATGACAACCCCTCCATTCCAGGTACCATTCTAGTAACCCTTCTCTGAATCTTTTCCAACAATTCAATGTCTTTCTTAAGGTAGGGAGCCCTTTAGACTTGTATTCAATATTTCTGTAGATACAACCTAAAATCCTATTTGCCCTACCACTAGCAACAGCACACTGCTTGGATGTCTTATAGATGGATGTGATTGCTAGAATACATATAGCTTTTATATAAACACTCTCTGGACTGATGAGCACATTTCAGGTGTCAAGTGCATACCTGCATATTAAACATGCAAATTTAAGTAAAAATAATTCTGACTCTAATTAAACATTTTTTTTTTACTCAATAATATTTTAAATTTGATATTTTGTCATTTTTTATCATTTAGTTAGTCTAATTTGCAAAGGAAAATGTGCAACCATTTCTGATGATGACAAAACCTTCTTGAAATGTTGTACATTTGCTGCTATGTTAAACTTGAATTAAAATTTTTCTTCATCACCCATTCAAGCCATCTCCAACCATTATTCAAAAAGTATTGCTTGTAAACAATGCACTTGTACATTTTTGTATGATTTTTTTTTTTCTGTCCAAAGGCATATGTTTATATTTGCTAAGAAAGTATCATCCCTTGAAAATGTAATTCTCAAAGTAATTTTCTCTAATGCAGTTTTTTTTCTCTTTCTCTGATTTTGTTAGTGCAGCTCCTCATCACACCGTTTTATGACTTCACAGCATATAGTGTGAACAACTAATAATGAAAATACATACAGGCCAAGTTTAAATGCCACTGGATAGAGCAGATTGTTAACACTTTATGTCAATGTAGAGTGATTAAAGTGGTGTGAGAAGTAATTTATTGATTTGTGGTAATCGGATGTAAATCCTGCAGAGAAGAACAATAGAATTTAGTGGGTTGTTTTAGAAGACTCGGTAACTAAAATATAAAAATTGGAAACTTACAAATTAAATAAGGAAACTTAAAAAAGTAAATTCAATAAAAAATGTATTGCAATACTCAATTTCTTAACATGCAAATTACATTGTCATAGGGTACCTGTAACTCAGTCATTTGTTTACACAAAACTGTGCAGCTATAAAAATGGCTTTAAGTATATTCTGAGAGGGTCAAAAAGCAGCTGTAAAGCATAAAAACTAATGAACCCAGATTTGAAAAGTCTATTAGCTTTGGCTATAATAATAAATAATGTATACTTATTTGGTACAATATGCGATTGTTGTAGAAAGAAGTAAAGGGTAATTTAGATTAATTTCTTCTTTTTCAACTTTTCATCTAACCATACATTGCTGATTTTACTAAAATAGATAAAATTTAAAGTTTTACTGAAAAAAATGTGATAATCATTTAGGAGGTTCTAGAAGGTGTGTAAATGAAATACAGAAACTGTAAGATGAAAAGAAGTATTTTTATTTTTAGCATGAAAATCACCTTTCACACAGACTGGTTCAGGAATGTTAATTCACAAAAAAAACCATTGTACAACAGACTTGTAATGTTTACTAAAAGCTTGCCAGATTTTGTGAATATACACTTAGTACATACAGAGTTATAGTATGTATAGTTTCATGATTACATAGTGGCTACAAAGTCAGTCTGATTTTGGACAGTTAAATAGTATGGTAGGCAACAGCAAAATATGCAAATAACTGAAATGTGATTGTAACCGTTATTTGTGAAATAATATTGTGTTAAAATAATGTAGATAAGCAAAATATGTATATTTATAAAAATATTAATTGATCTTGACCAAAGATGACGATACCTAACCTGACCTGATTCCATTGTAAAAATAAATTTTCACCTTTTTTTTTTATTATTAATAGGCAAAAGTACTGACTACTACAATCAGCAAAATAAAGTATTAAAAGAATACGTTAATGAATATTAATCAAGTTGAAATTTATTATGCAAATAAAATGGAAATGATTTTATCAATGATAAAAAAAAAAATAAAAAATTCTAAGATGAAATTTATTATCTTTTTTTTTCAAATATCTCTCAACAAATTATGGAAATTTCACATAATAGAAAAAGATAGAAAAACTAAATTGAATTATATGATTTTTGTAAAACCAAAATTATATAACTTAATTAGTTTTTACTACATTTCATGTACTTTCATTAAATATTACCATTGTGAAAAGGACACAAATCAGAAGATGTTGGTGATACCCCCCCCTCACCCCACCCCAATCCAGAAATGACTGAACTGGCAAATAAAAACAAGATGCAATCATTGAATTCTTTCCAACTCTAATGAAACATGTTTTGAGTTTCAGATGATAAGATTCAGGAATATATCTCAGTCTAATAATCATTATAAGAAGTTACTCAAGTATTACATCTATGTTAAATTATTAGGTATCAAATATGATCCAGTATACATGAAAATATGTTTTTTTGGTTTGTAGAGTTGACACTAATTTAGATGACTTGTTTGGTAAGAAAATGTCACCGCCTAAAACAGACATAGAGACAACACAAAGCCAAGCTGCTGTTTCTTCTACTGTCACTTTTGATGTTGCAACAGCTTCTGAAACTGATAGTGTATCTACTTTCAATGTTGTGAAACCAGTTCCTAAGCCCAGAGCAAAGAATATTTCCACTTGTAAGAACTCTACATCCCACCATGACCCAGTGTCTTCAAATAATGAGGTACTGCTCACAGTTTAAGTTGTGTGTTATTACTTGTTGGTATATAATTATACATAAGGTTGAATATGTTATATTAAAACGATTTTGAAGCCTCACCATTTTATTGCAGTCCATGTCACCACATCTGATTGTGCTGCATCTGATGACTGTGTTCATCTTGACAATAGCCCTGATGCATAATTTCCATTGCAAAAAGCTCTTTTGTAAGGCTGCCATTTCCAAAACACACCACTCTTCCCTGTTGGCTTTTCATAATCCATCTATTTTATGAGAACAATGGTTTACTAGCACCTGTTTCAACACTCCAACCACCCAGAAACTGATAGAACAGAAAATATGATTGGAAAACCTTATCTTGGTGACGCCACACCCCATTGACCTCATTTCCAAATGGATATCCTTCTTGATTGTGTTGCTTACTGTTGCCTCTGGAATGTGGATGTTTTTTTTTCACTGACCTTTGTGAATTCTCATCAGAGGATGCTGCACTTTGCTTACTATAGCTGGGGTATGGCTTTGTTGCAGGTTTCTTTCTTAATGGTCATTGTGCCCCCAAGTTGATCTATATTTCATTGTTTTTCAATGCCATTAAGTCTTGGAAATGCTTAATGCCCAAATTTAACACATCTTTATGATTTAGTGTAGGAATATTTTGCATCAGAAAGGACTGTTCTGTACACTTTCCTAAAGAGAGATTTTTAGTAGCATCACACTACTTAGGAAATACCAAACATTGTCAAAATATAGTTCTGATACATTCCACCTAACTTTATATTGGCTGTGGTTGTCACATGACTTGCTAAATTGAATATTCAAAATCGTTTGAATATAATGTACTGAAATCTGTATACCTTCTAAATACTATTTATATAATCTTGATTGTAATGTGTTTTTAGAGTTCTAATATTAATGCTATAAGGATTCCAAAGTAATTAACAATTCCATAAGTTCTAACAGCCCTCTCTAACACTTCTTGATAGAAATGAAAAGAAAGAATATTGGACAGAGTATTTTAAATATTTTGATATATAATTACCCAAAGGTCCACTTTTTAGGATGCTCTATGGTTTCTTCTTAATTTTAAATATTCTTGTATTTGGAAATTTGTTTTCACTTTAACAGTTATGTCAAGAACAACTTCAAATAAATAATGGAAAGGGGTTGTATTGAGTTAGTGTTTAAAAATATGAGGAAGGTATCAACAACAATCTGGTTAACTAGTTCTGTATAGCATGCATTGTTAGGAGAATTATTTTAAGGGTGTAACAAATTATGTTATGAATGTCTGGGCCTTTCAACATTTTTTTTCAGTTTATTATTTTAACTTTTGTTAATTAAAAAAAAATCAAATTACCCAAGACTCACTCTTCAAAGTATTTGGCTGTTTCTCAAGCTGAAACTTACAAGTTTTCTGTGTGATTACAAATTCTGATGTTTCAGTTCTTTACCAAAAATTTGAACATTCATAGCAGTATGTAATATAAGGCACTGAAAATTTTAAATAACTCTAAATTTTGATAGATTTCAACTTGCTATTGTATAAATTCTTGGCTCCTGGTGATTCAATTAGTAGTTTTCAACTGCTGATTGGAGGGAAGGCGACTGACTCGACTAACTTTGTTGTCAATTGCTACTAATCACTTAGCTCTATCCTTATGTCTAAGTGGGGAAATAAAATTTATATTTTTCATAAAATTTTATTATGCAAATCAGCAAATTCAAAGATATCTGTCTTAATAATGTTTTGTCTTATTAATTGTGATAATATTCATACTAAACAATGACAAATAACTTAAATTTTACGAAGTTAAGTGTACTAAACATTTATTTATTTCTGCAATCTCACTGAAGATTCAACAAAGTGCACACCAAAATTTTTATTGCATAAAAGATATTTTGGTAAAAGATGATTACAATAAAAATCAAGAAAATAACATTGACATATAACATAACTTTTATAAACTTTTTCTCTTTTTTTTCAGGAGACTAAAAAGCAGTTGCAAGAAGAAACTTTCAAAAAATGTAAGCCTACACCTCCTCCTAAGCCAGTTTCTGTAACCAGTGTGAAACCCGTTCCTTTACCAAAACCAAAGATTCTTCAGAAACCTGTTGCTGGCAACCAATCTACTCATTTTCTCGGTGCAAGTAAAATGTCACATCCTTCTGCAGAAATTAAGCAGACACAAACTTTAGACAAAGAGGTAAACAAGCTACCTGTTGAGTCAGAAAAAACAGAAGACATTGACATTGTAAAGTATATTGAAGAAGAACAAAAGTCAACACAATCAACAGTGAGTCTGTTTGACTAAAAGTAATCATCAAACCAAAAATTATATCAAGTTATCACATATAATTTTGAAATATTCACATGACAGGATAATCTGAATGATTTCTGAGATTGAGCAATTATTGTGATCCTATTTGTAGTTTGTATTTTCTTAAGGGCACTTGTGGAAGCTAATTCATTATATTATGAAAAATGACCTTATTATTTGAAGGCTACCATCATGTAACACTTGAGATTTAAGTTAGAATTTTTATATCAGGATCATAGAAAATTGAATCCTCAGAACAAATTTAATCACTTGTTGATAAATAATTAAAGCTGTAAAAAGAAGGGTATGGTAATTTAAAGATTTATATCAGTTCTATGTTTAAGTTTACTGAATGATATGCACATTGCTTGTGTACACTATTTTACTATTTACAAAGAAATATGGAAAATATTGTATGACAAGGTGTGGTAACTTAATTATAGAATCTAATTTCACTGTAGAATGTTGTGTAAAATGTTTTGAAAGGTATAAGATTGTATTATGGAATTTTGTTATCAAAAATTCACAGACAAGGATGAAATGTGGTTAGCAGATATATAGAAATTATACATCAAAAGGATAGTGTTTTAATAATTACTTTTGTTGATTTTATACAATATTTCAGTTTTTTCCAACAAACATCTTCAAGTGTTGTGATTTGTTTGCTTGTTTATTTTGAATATTGTGTTTATGAATTGTATGTAGGATATGGCATGTAACCTGTGAAAAGTGCCTTTTGGTAAAGAAGGTGAAATAATACAATTTTTTCCCAACTCCATAAGTCTACTCACTTCTAACACCCAACCAGAAAACAATTTATCTAAGTTTAACACCAACCAATATCTGAGTTTTATCTGACAATTGACATTTTTGTGTGTGACAGTTAGTACTCAATATACTATGATATATCTTGTGAAATGAAACCTGTGCATCTTAGTAAATTCTCTTAAAATCATTTTCACATCTTTAGTTAAAAAACAACACTGAAAACAAATAGGTAACATCATGTATTAAGTTAGTATTAAAACATTTTTAATGAAGATCTGATAATAGTAACATATTCTGTTTATTTCCAGAACCTTTGTTTTTTTGTGTGTGTGTACATCTCAGAACAAAAATTTTTGATCCTTTGTGAGTTATGTACAGATTGATACGTTAACTTTACAAAAATGGCAGATATTTACTGTGGTAACGAAACTGCATATCAACTTCTAGTATTTAAGGATAATAAGGGACCTGTTGGTCCATCTAGACTCCCATCCACTAAACTACACACATAAAGTCAAAGCCAACCCTTATCATTGAAATATTTATCAAGCCCTTAAATGTACTGCTTCTACCACATCTGATGGCAACCCATTCCAAAGATCAATTAGAAAAATAAAACTGTCTTAGCTGAAGATGACTCCTACACTGTAGAATTAATATTGTCCCTTAGTTCTACCATTCTCACCATTAAGTACAAAAACAAAAGATGATTCATCAACACTATCAATTCCTTTAACAATCTTATACATCTCAATCAGATCTCCTTAATCTTCTTTCCTCAAGAGAAAACAACTTCAAAAATCTTAACCTGCCCACATATGGCAACCTTTCCATCCAAGGTATCATCCTAGTAGACCTTCCCTGAACCCTTTCCAACAATTCAATGTCCTTCCTAAGGTAAGAAACCTAGAGCCCAAGACTGACCATAATATGCCTAATATGGCCTAGCCAGTGGTGTATACAATGAAATTATAACCTCTTAGACTTGTATTCAATATTTCTTTAGATGCAACTTAAAATAATATATTCCCTACAACTAGCAACAGCATACTGGATGGATGACCTTGGAGATTGATCAACAAACGAACAAGATCCTTTTCTTCCATAACACGTATAGCTTCTATATGTGGTATCTTTACTATACTGATTTAAAGATCGTGGTTATACAATGTGTTGGATATTGTATTTATAAGAAAATTCTGCTCTTGAGAAAATAATTATTCAGTAGAGTATGTTAAATAACTTTGAAAGATGAAGGATATATTCATAGTGTTCACTTGTAATCTACAGTTTGAAAAATCAATCATGTGTATATAGAATTACATATATTTTCCAACAATTACAAATGGGATGTCTGTGTGAAATTTGATAGTTGCTATAGTTAGTCATTATGTACTGTATAAATGGATACTTTATTCTGCATTTCTAGAAATGATGTGTGCTTGATATTGTAGTTTGTAATTATCATACATAGCTTAATAGAGCTGGGCAATTTAATCAATAAAATTGATTACTTATGAGCAGCAATTACATTGATTAGTGCCATGCAATCTAATTGATTAATCAAAATTAGGTTTTTGATTCATTCCAACTATCCAAATAAATGCTATCTGCCACTGTCACTAATTTTGAACTACTGACTAGAGAGAAGACAACTGTGGCATCACCCATTGCTGACTTTCTTTTTCTTTTTTGAACTGCTGACTAGAGAGAAGACAACTGTGGCATCACCCATTGCTGACTTTCTTTTCTTTTTTGAACTGCTGACTAGAGAGAGGAGAACTGTGGCAGCACCCATTGCTGACTTTTTTTTTTTTGAACTTTTGACTTGAGGTAATGCAACTGGCTTTCATCACCTGCCACCAATCTTTTTTTCTTTGGAGCTGCTGACTAGAGTGAAGGCAACCGTGTGACAGCACCAGCTGCCAACCTTTTGTTGTTTTTAAATTGCTACTAGAGGGAAGGCAACTGGTTGGCTGCACCTGGTCCCAACTTTTATTTCCTTTATAGATACTATGGTTTGAGAAACACTGTATTAATCGATTAATGGGGCTGTCAATTAATCGACTAGCAACTACCACTAATTGCTTGACTCTATAGCTTATATTCTTAGATATTGAACACATTTTCAGTGACGAGGAACCCACTTTGAGACTAATAATGGCTGGAGACGGCTTGAATGGGTAATGAAGAAAAACTTTAACATAAGTTTAACATAACAGCAAATGTACAATGTTTCGACAAGGTTTTATCATTATCAGGTACAAAGTTTTTCTTCATTACCCGTTCAAGCCATCTCCAGCCATTATTGAACACATTTGTGCCTCCAGCTACATGCTTCATAATTGCAGTGGTATATTTATTGAATTAAGTGTGTGGTAACTGAAGAATTATAACGTTTGTGAAATGTACTAGCTTATCTTAATGAAAATTGTATACAAGTGTACTTGAATTATATATCCTTTCCCCCTTTATTTGCTGACCTTGTAGCAATGATATCAAAGGATTATTAGACAAAGTCAGTGCAAGCTAATTTTTAATTACATTCTACTTTACTTTTTCAAACAAGTGTTATGAATATAAATAATTACTAAACCCTTGAACTGATTCAGACTCTTTCTTTCAAGCTTAATTTGCAGTCACTTTGCAATTCACTAATTTATCGGAATATTTTTACTTTTGAGAAAGGAATAAGTATTAAACGTTTTGATGTTTTAATAACAAATTGCTTGAATTTTTCATTGGATGTCTGTTTTTCACATTGAGTAAAATCTATGCTCTATTGTGTTATGAATATAAATAATTACTAAACCCTTAAACTGATTCAACTTCCCTTCCTTCAAGCTTATTTTGCAGCCAGTTTGATGCAACCCAATAATTAATCATAATATTTTTACTTTTGAGAAAGGAATAGGTATTAGACATTTTGGTGTTTCAGTAACAAATTGTTTGAAGTTTTTGAATATCTGTTTTTCACATTGAGTAAAATCTATGCTCTATTGTGTTATATAAAAGAAAATGCTTTAAACAAGTTGCACTAATGTCTTTGTCTTGCATGTTATATATATATGGAAAATGTATTGGGTCATGTAGCTGTGATAAACTCCCTTTTGTTAGTTGTATAGGTGACAATTAACTTGTTCATGTACATTTCTACCAATAGAGATTATTTCTGGATGTTGCTCAGTTATAGCACAGAGAAGCATACTTGTATATGTATTTTGACTAAAAATGAGAACTTGCAACTAGTGTTGCCAAGATACATGAAATGTAGAAATTAATGTTTAGGTTAGTGACTATTGTTGCTTGATTGTAATAAACAATGTAACATTTGTGTGATATTGAACAAGAAAATTGTATGTAAAGAATAAAAATGATTTAAGTAGGTGTGTTTGTTTACTCTTTAATTTCAAATTTTATATGCCAGCTATACAACAGTTTTTTTGTGATAATTGCTACAGGTGTATCTGTAAGTTTTATTTGCTAAAACGTCATTTACAGTAGCACTTTGTAAACAGATCTGTAACTTTTATAAAACTTATTTAAATAATATCATTGTAATTTCAAAATAAAATAAAAATGGTGCAATATAATTCAAAACAACTGCCAAAAAGTTTACTTTTATTTAAAATTTTGTTTTTTGATTTGTTTACTTTTTCTGTTCAGGGGACATGTTTTGATTTTTATAACAGCTGACGTGAATATCAGAAGGAGGGTCAAAATATTTTAATATCATACCGAAATTATAAAATTATATAATTAGTATATATATATATAGTTGATTAAAGTATTTTTGTGCAAGTGTTTTTAATTTATTGTTGAAGTTTGAAAGTTTTCATTTAATTAGAAATGTTTTAGATGTATCAGGCAGTTATCTTTGGAAGACGATTTAGAAAATGTAGATTATTCTCTTGAACCTAAGAATTTCCCATGGAGTTTTCAAACTTTAAAACAGTTCTCTTGTGCTTCAGAATTTGTAAAGAAGTGTTTAATTGCTGAACAACTATAGGTTGTTAATGATTGTTATTGCTAGTGTTATAGGAGTTGTGTTTCGTGTAGAGTATTAAATATTTCAATCACTATAAGAAAAATAACTATAATTTATAATAAGTCATTTTGAGCTTCAAATGAACTTTCGCAACGCTGAAAAATTTTAAAATTCCGCTTTCAGATTGTTTTGATATAATAAAATACAATGACTAGGGCTTTCTGTAGGTATGTGTGCTTGTGGTGAATGTATTCAGTTTAGTGTATGTAATACAAGGCCAAAGGTTGTAATAGCTTTCAAAAAATAAATCCAATAGTTTTTGTTCGTGGGAATTAAGATTCACACAGGCTGGGACAATCGTTTATAAAGAAATGTTTTTGTTATGACCAATTAAGCATCTAACAACGAACTTTAAATATACCATTGGAAGATAGAACAGAAGTGATGAGTCGTTGAGGTATAAGTTTAAGACAAAGCGAACTTTTATATATTTTTAATTATTAAAGAAATGGCACTATCAATTCTTTCATCACTTATTGATTCAATGGAATCAAAAGTTACCATAAAATTATCTAATTATGATTTAGAAAATTACTTCCTGGATCTTTTATAAAATAGGATTAATTCTGATTACCCAATGGTATGAAACGTGTAAAAGAATTTGGTAGTATATTAATGAGCTTACGTCCTTTTCAAGAAAGAACGTTTGTCCAAGTATTAAGAAGAACAAACAAAAAATACTCGTTTATTCCTCTTACTACTTGGATAGAATGCTGAACCTTGAAAATGGCCGCCTTTTAAAGGCGGCCAGCTGAAACGTCTAAAATATAACTTTTATTCTGGAGCTTAAGTCGTTTTTAATGGAGTTTAAATCATTTTAAAACTTATTATGACTTCTCCATTTTTCACTACGACATACGAAAATTTATACTCATAAGAAAGTTGTTTTATTTGTGAAGTATACACTGAGTGGTCACAAGTAAATAGACACCTAATTTTTCGTCATTTAACTGATTTATGCTAACTAATTTGTGTTCACAGAGCACTATATAAATGAAAATGGTCCGCACACTAATTATCTTTTGTTACAATATGCCTAGAACTGAAGGTTCTCTCGAATTGTCAGATTTTGTTAGAGGAAGGATAGTTGGTCAAGCAGATGGTGGAATAAGTCAGTGGCAAATTTGGGAATCCTGCTTTCGATATTCAACAGAATCATCGTGCAGTTCAGGAAACAACTGAGCAGCGTCCGGGTCGTCCTGGTCCATCAGAGAGTATAAAAAGGGCTGTCAAGAAGAGCATCGAAATGGATCCCAGATTAACGACTGCAGAAGTTGACAAAGTTGGTGGGATGAGCCCGAAACCTGTTCAACGGATTCTCCACAGATTGGGTTATTGTTGCAGAGCAGCTAGACGGAAGCCCTTATTAAGACCTGCCAACATAGTCAGACGAAAAAAGTTGGCAAGTGATATGATGACCAAGCCTCTGGACTTTTGGAAGACCGTATTGTTCTCAGACGAATCAAGATTCGCTCAATTTTCGGACAATGGAAGGATATGGCTCATCAGATTGCAGCCAACTGTGAAGCATGGTGGTTTCAGCATGATGGTTTGGGAAGCTGTTTGAGTTGGTGGGAGATCGAGCTCAGTGGAGTGCGTCGGCAACATACATTTTGCGAAATACATCGAAATATTGGAGGAAGGACTCTTGCCACTCTATTCCTCGGGTTTCGTGGACAAAAACACAACGTTGTTCCAGGAAGATGGAGCACCGTGTCACACTGTTAGAAATACCCAAAAGTGGCAGGAAGAAAATGGTATTGTTACATCTCCGTTTGTTAATTAACTTTCCGTAACTTCGTTCCGATGAAACTTTAGTGACACAAGT